AAAAAAAAAAAAAAAAAATATATATATATATATATATATATATATATATATATATATATATATATATATATATATATATATATATATATATTTATATAATTATTATTATTTTTTATTTTTATTTTTATTTTATTTTTTCTCAAAGTTACTAGCCACTCACCATTTTTACTACCCACAATTTTGTTGTTGGGAAAATATATTTTATATCCATAAATTTGTCTTTGGCATTCCAAAATTACTTGATTTAAAATTTGTGTTTTCCACATGCCATCTCTGTTGTGTATGAGGCTGTGGTTTCATAGTGTCATATTGCAATTAGTTTGTTTATTTATTTATTTATTTATTTATTTATTTATTTATTTATTTATTTATTTATTTATTTATTTATTATTAATAGTTTATATCACATGACTTTTCAGGGCTCGACAATAAGGACTTGCCAAGTTTTTTTCTTTAAAAAAAAAATTAAAACTGCTTTTATTCTAGCCAAAATGAAACAAATAAGACTTTCTCCAGAAGAAAAAATGTTATCAGACATACTGTGAAAATTTCCTTGCTCTGTTAAACATATTTTAGGAAATATTTAAAAAAGAAAAAAAAATAAATCAAAGGGGAGCTAATAAATAGTTCTGACTTCAACTCTATGTGTGTGTATGTATGTATGTATGTATGTATGTATGTATGTATGTATGTATGTATGTATGTATGTATGTATATATATGTATATATATATATATGTATGTGTATATATATATTTGGGGTGGGGCAAAATATCAATATTGATACAGCGGCGATACATTATCGATACTCTGGCGCCAAGTATCGATATTTATCTCAAAGTACAAAAGATAATAATTAATTATTCATTCAGTCTTACACTAACTGCAGCAGTTTACCGCTTTGACTGCAGTACACCCAGCCTACACCAGGTGACACATCCAATAATGGTGGATAAACAATACATCAGAAATGCACCAGCATCATTTAACCACTGACAGATAAGCCATTGCAATGGTGAAAATCTCTGGCATATGGATACACCTGTTAAAGCTGGACCAATATTTTTTTGTGTTTCAGACATCCAGCTCTCCCCAATCTAGTTTCTCCCTTAAGTCAGTGGTCAGAGCTGTGAGACTTCGCATAGGAATATGTACTAAAACGAATCTGCCAAAATTTATATTAGACAAAGATATCAACAGGACATGAACATATTATTTAATGGACCTTGTGTTTATTTAACCATTGCAGACCAAGAGAAAGTCAGATGCTATTATGAAAACTTTGGCTAAAAATATTAGGGACAAAATAATTAAATAAATATATATTTTTTTAATTCTTTTTTTTTATTTGATAAGTAAATAACTAATGTTCTCCACTGCTGGGGACATCAAAAGTGGTCATAGGAGTCTGTGCACCTATGAACTATGAACATTCTGATCAGTTACTGTTCTTGAAAAAATATATCAATCTAGTGGGAATGCATGAGTTTGCATTAAAATTAAACCAGGGCTAAGCATAAAATACTTCATTTAAGTTGGCGAAGTTGTATTAAGTGTCCCAATTCCACAAAGTTGAGCTTCTGATGCTCTCTGCACATCTGCATTTTTGGTCGCACTTTATTTTGATGGTCCGTTTGTTGAATTTGTTACAAGTTGACATGTACTTGCAAAGTTTCTTATAGTCAGTTAAATGTCTGTTGAACGATCAGTATCAACAGATATCAAGCAGACAGTCTACTAATACTCAAATGGACCATCAAAAAAAAAATGTTGCCGCATTTTTTGAGCTTGTTTGATAGCTTTGTTACATTGTTTCAATTCTATAAGTTGTGCTGTTAATATAAGAAATGCTTCTTATAACATTTTGATGGATTTTTTTTCTCATTCATTTACAAATATTGTGATACATCGTAGATCATTTTCTTGTGATATATTAATATTTAGTAGAATTGCTGATATTGTGATATATTAATATCGTGATAATATCGTGATAATTATTAGCCCCCCTTTGATTTTTTTTTCTTTTTTTAAATATTTCCCAAATGATGTTTACCAGAGCAAGGACATTTTCACAGTGTGTCTGATAATTTTTTTTTCTTCTAGAGAAAGTCTTATCTGTTTTATTACAGCTAGAATAAAATCAGTTAAAAATTTTTTAAGGCCATTTTAAGGTAAAAATTATTAGCCCCTTTAAGCTATATATATTTTTCGATTGTCTACAGAACAAACCA